TTAAAAAAAATAAAGGCCTCTTATGATCTACCTCTGCTATTACTGTCAAAACTCCTAAAAGACGATTGTAAGTTGCCAAATTCTCTTCTGCCTCGATGCTACGTAGCCTTAAGTTGGTTGTTTTCTAGAAGGCGATAAACCGAAAGAAATTTTGATGAAAGAAAAGTATTTCAAACACATTTTCTGTAGAGGAAAGTAAAAAATAATTTCTAACGCAAAAAATTTGTTAAGAAGTATACCAAGGTTCACCTGGTTATCAAAGAATTTACAAATGAAAGTTGGTGAATAGGGGCGGAGTATATGGGACCTGCGAAATGCACGCTTTGACCGCAATGAATACATTTACCATTGCCATCCAGTAAACCAGAATCTACCATGGAAGCAGTATATTTTACACTGGCACCTGAAACCACCTTCTTTGCTAATGGCTGCAGTTGAAGAGAGTGGCAACCAACGCATGCCAGAACGTTAGCTGCCTTCCTAAAAAAGCATCATTATGTTTAAGAACTTAAGCATGTCAAAAAATTTACTGAAAACAACAGTTAATATCCGTTTTACAAATTAATTGCAGCAATCCAAATATGTTTGGTACTAAGAATTGCAGTCTTTATTAATCAGAAAATCAGACGTTATGCTGTCTTTCGCATGGTGAGCACTAGTATGAAGCCTCACGAAGACGCGAACATAAAAGTCAATGCTGAGTGACAACAGAGGCTCAATGTACCGAGCATAACGATTAGCATGAGAATCCAACGCTTTTAATAAAACTCGAATTGCCTAAAGAATGCCATTTCATCCTGAAATATTGCCAAAAAAAAAGAATCTGTGCAACAGTTTCTTTTCTAGAAATAAGATTCTTGTAAATGAAAACAAAAAATTTTACGTTAAGAGCACAAATATATAACCGAGACAACTAAAACGCAAAAATTTTAAATAATAAACGTGAAAGCCTCATGTATAATAGCTGTAAGAAACCCATAACACTGACAAATTCGTGACAACACTTGTGTCGTAAACCCACAGAGCCATATTTGTTATAACAAGATTCGGGAGTATTGCCGCAAAGAACTGCCATATCAGTGCAAGTAACCATAAGAATTCCTAAAAAAAATTAGTAAATACCAAATAAAAAAAGTTTGGATGATTTAAATATTTGCTTTTCACCTTGGTCTGCAACAGCCTGCACGGCTGCGTCTAAAAATACTGAAGCAGAACCGTAAGGATCTAAGTCAATCGCATGAAACCTTTTATCCAGAGCACGATGCGACATCATGACTTCACTAAAACTTCAATTTTATTAGAATATGGTCAGCGGTGAACTCCTAGCTTTCAAATAATACCAAGTTCATATAAGAAGTTTACATCGCATCGCCAAAGTTAGGTTTGACGAGCCCCTCAAGGCCATTTAAAACTATATTCTGCTTTACAGCTTCCACAGCATTTTCAGAGAAGTCATTAGCCACTACCTCCAGAACGTTCGGAATCTATTAAATATTTCTGAATAGTATGACTCAGAAGACTATAACCAAAATATGTTGATTTATAATTTAGGTTAAAAGCAGGCTTCTAAACACAAATTTTACCAAATTTTAAGTTGAAATTTGTTTTTCTCTACCAAAACAAAGAGAAAGTTTGAAAGCCTGCATTGACTTCTGTAAAGCAAGATCATGGTGAACACACATGCAAACCATACTTCCTTAGCAAACCGAAGCGCGCGAAGACCGCTAGCAGATAAGGCATCCAAAATGCGTACACCTTCACTCTGTAATTAGTGTTTTCAAAGATACTACGAACACGTTATTAATCAGGTCCACTATCTTTGCTACTAACTTTAAACAACTTCTGAAAAAATAAATCAAACGTAATTAAAGTGCCTAAACTGCAGTATTCACTAAATAAACTGCACAAATATTTTTCTCAAATTATTTAACAAAAAATTGTTAAACAAGATCATTTGAATTAATGTTTTTCAGTAGAGATGATAAGACGAAGGAAGCCAAAAAATGAATAAAAAATAAGCGTCAGAAATTAATAAAAGTTCTGTTAGTCTTTGCAGAATCAATATTTCCAACCCATACGTCAACAACCAAAGGAAAAAAATTAGTTCCAATCAGAAAGACAAACCAATGTAGTCATTTGCCCTGAATGACACGTTAAAAAACGTGAGTAGTAAGTTTTTTAAAAAATTGAGCAAAACATTTTTAGGTAAAAAAGAAGTACAAATAAAAAAGAGAGACGAAAAAAGATAATCAAAAGACACTGACAAGATTGCTACTGTTTTAAAAACTAAACATCAGTTTCTTCGTATTACGACCAGAAAACAAAAGCCGAGACAGACCAAAAACTACTTTGCAAGTTACCAAATTCTGGTCAATATTTATAAAAACTTGCACCAGTTTCACATATAACCCAAACATGATTTCAATTGGCCTCTAACCTAACTAGCAAACATTTATTACTTGCTTGTAGGTCTCGGTGAACAAGTCGCCTGCATAGCGACCTCAGATTGGCTTAAGGCCATCTGTTCCATAACTGTATAAACAAATAAGCCTTCCACAGCTCTTGGCCACTGTAGAAGAGCGACTGCAAATGAAATGAAAGAATTAGAAAAAAAGACCATCTATAAGTACTCTATCCAAAAAAAAGCCAAATAAAAAGAAATGCAACCCAGAATTGAGTAAAAGAATTAAAAACCAGAGATATCCAATTTTGCCACGTTAAGTGAACGAGATCAATTAACGAAAATATTAGCTCTGCTAACACAAAACTTCCTCATTTACAATAGTGACCAGTAAAATAAAATGAGTTCTAAGACTGCAGCAGTCCCAAACTATTTACCTTTCTAATCAAGCTACTCGATTTGGAATTAATAAACTCTCTGCCACTCTAATACCGATAATCACGGTAAATGTTGAAGAAATCAATGACGTAAGTTAAATTTGAGAGAAAACAAAGATTTTAGAAGCGCCCTAAGATAAAAAGCATTTAAGATTAGCATTTAAGAGCATTTGAGATTTAATTACCTCATAAAGTAGTAACTACTATTAAAATTCAATAAATAAAAGTCAATTTCAAGCAAGTGCTTAAAGCAACTCCCAAATAAGACAAGGCACAGTGTATTATGATAAATTAAAGCTAGCGGAGAAAGTAGCTGCCTCTGCAGTGTCAGTAAAAAAAAAAACTAGGAATGGGGAAACATAAACCATTTCGTTTTTAAACAAATATCAATTTCTGGAACCTAACACCATCTGTACAAAAAGAAGAAAAAAAAGAACCACTTCATAAAAACTTGCATAGTTCTCTATGTCACATCTCAAAATTTTACTAAATTTAGACTACAACTTCAAATTGAAAAACCAAGGAGGTATTATAAAAGTATGTCATACATGTCAATTACTAATTATGGTCTCTAATAGAAAGGCACTCATGAAAATGTGGTAAAAGATCTAAAATGTAAAAAAACTCTCCCTTATAAAAATTTCCAACCTTAACGTAAGAACTCGACGCTACCACCAAGTACAAGCCTTTAAAATCTAAATTTGAATTTAACGGAATAATTACATCGCCATTACACTCTTTTCTACTGCATACGCAGCTAGATGTAAAAGCTTACGCAGAGGATCAAAGTCAAAACCCGTCTCACATTCTCTATCATCAAAAAGACCGAATACTGAAAAAAACTCGATGATGTTTCTGGAAGAAGAGGTTCATTGTAGAAATTCTTATAAAAAGAGCGTCTATTAACAAAACATCTAAAAACGATTCACAATACCCAACAGTACCGTAGCATGCCGCTTAAGTAAACGAACATTTTTTTTGAAGAATGAGAACTTTTTACACAAAACAATTAAGAATTAAAAAAAGCTATTCAACTCGTTTTTAATAATACTAGTGATATCAGATCAATTGCCATATTATGGCCTAATGACAAGGAGGTACAATAACCCATAAATTTTTTGTATCCTATACATACAGACAAATAGTAATCAGAAAACTACTCTTTTTGAGCTCATATGGAACTTAGAAAGCTTCTTCCATCTAATCAGACCTGGTTAAGATTGAGAAAAGAACCTCTCACTATCTAATATAAAGTATCAGTCGCAGACCATGTCAAGCGTCGCGAAAAAGGGGAAAATCTGAAGTGACTCATACATTTCAAAGAATAAATTACATGCTACAAGAAGGAAAATTAGTTTTGATCTGGTCGTGCAAACTGAAAAAAAAGAAAATTTTTTCAGAAGAAAAAACTGGAGAATAAAATGATCATACCGTCAATCTAGAAATATCTCTTTGCTAAATATTTTGTTCCAAAACGAACTACTTAAATTATTTAAACCTCAATACAAGGCTTGAAATCCTTCACTTGTTTGACAAGACAAAAAGCCATCAGAAAGGCTATAATCTAATGCACTAAAAAATTCGACGCTTAATAATGCTCTATCACACAATGAATTTTTCTTCTGATAATTCGAAAACTATCAACGAAAAAGCTTAAAAAGTAACAAATTGCGCAATGAAGTTATTAAAAGCGACAATATTTCTATCAAAGGACTAGTCAAAAACTGTACATTTGACTAGAAAACATCAAAGTATTACGCAATAATAAGTTAGGGCACAAACGAGAAAAATACCACAGAATTACGTACTTGAGAATCAATAAAAGTAATAAAGAAAATACCGCTGCTACAGCAAGCAAAAAATATTCCAGCACTAATCACGCCCTACAAAGGTTATCGAAGATTTACACAAATATTTTCAAGAGCATTATATTATGAAATAATATCAAAGTGAGAAATGAAAGCCAAAAAGGAAAAAGATCATAAGGACTGAACAAACTGAAGCTTTATTTAGACTAATTCATCTTTCCAGTCGTTAGTATATGATAAAGAGCGGCAAGGTCCGACACTAAGTTGATAAATAAAACATGGAATAAAGCTTACAAAATTTAAGGCGAAACGAAAGTAGTAGAAGAATTTATGATAATTTCAGGTTGCTAAAACTCAACATTTCACGATACTCACCAGATCAGGTTTCATATGCAAGCATACATAACAGATGCACGCATGTGCAAAGTAAGCAATTAAAGAAAACAATTGGCCATATACATCCGTGAGAGGCTGTCATTTGAAACAGATTTTTTCTTCCCTAGTGAGAAATGGTCAGGAAATGCTCTAAAAAGGAGCAAAAGAACTTATCAATCAATAGAGACGATAAAATTTCAAAACGTTTTTCTTTTAAGAAGACCTCCCATAAAAATTACGTTTAGATTGATTCACAAGTTAGAGAGTTTCATGAAACGACTCAAGAAACAAAGGTGGCTTTGAGATGTTGCATTAGAAAAGATTGCTTTCTTTTTGCCATCTTTGTCAACAGACCCCAGCTAGCAGACACCCGTCTTCCCTCTTTCCTAGAAAATTCAGTAACCGTCGTTATTCTAATTGCGCAGATGATGACAAAAGATTACTAGCCCTAGGTTTTTTTCTGATATATAGTTAATGTTTTACGTGATTATAAACCTATAAGCAAATAACGGTTACTTTTTTAATGCTTTAGATTACTTTTATGGAAAGCTAACTGTTTAGCCAGTTTTTCAACGGTAAAAAAATACTCATTATAGTAACCAATCTTTGTCTATTTTAATATTAACAGTAAGCTTATTACCACGAAACGCTAGCTCCCCTTTCAAATACCACAACTAGTATAAACCGTGGATAACACAACCAAAAGCATTTAAAGCAGCTACATTGAACGAAAGATGAAATACACTCTCTATACGAAGCAGCAAGCCAAAAGTGACAGAGCAGACTAGAATCAATATTAAGGTTTACCTTCTTCCTTCACAACCCCCTAATCCCTCTCTCTAAAAAAAATATAACAAGTCATCTTGAGAATTAAATCTTCTTCGTAATGCAATAGAGGTTCAAAGGCAGAGAAACTTGGGAAAGTAAAACCAACCTCGACAAACAATTTTTTCCTTTTTTTCGGCTTCGGAGAGCTACTACTCAAGTCATCTTCTGCTTTCAGTGTCGCAATACGGTCCTCTACAAATTGCCTAAGTACTAGAACTCTAAAAAAGTCATATGATAAAATTACTTCTAGGACAATAAAATAACGCTTTTGCTATCTAAAAAAACTAACGTTAAATCACGATTGAACTCTTGCACTGGATTATAAAATGTACCAGTCGGCGATCTTAGTTGTATTTTCACCAACCCTTCAGTAAAAATGTTTTCAGTATGATCATTGTGGTTTTCAACCGTTGCCGATGACGGATCTACTTTCGAGTTATAACTAACAGGTACAGTTTTTGCCATTTTCGTTTCAGACATCGGTTGCGCAATCTTAACCGCTATCAAATTATGCGAACGAAACGGTAACCTTTGTCCTCTTTGAAGTAGCACCGGTAATCTTGTAAAGCATTTCATAAAAGAAGCTTCGCATAAACGAAACAAGTTTCTAAACGAGCGCAGTTAGCAGAGCTGCCGACAACACATTATACATGCTCAGAAGGACTTGTCGTAAATAGACCAGTACATACATATATAAATATATTCGTGTACTTCACGCAAAAAAAGTAAACAGTATCAAATACAAGAAGTCCTTAAAACCTTCACCAACAGAAGAAAAAGTGCGAAAAAAAACGTTGTGCGATGAATATCGCCGTTTTCAATCCCAAATTAATTTCGTGATTCGCTGTAGCGAAAAGCGCCTAAGTTGGGTATGTTCCAATATTTGGCTATTGTACATATAACTTAAAGAAGGAAGCAAAAATTTTTGGCTAAGAAACTTCTTGTGCATCTTTTTTTTTTCTGCATTTTTGGCTTCTATCATTAATTTTTGTTTTTGAATGCTAGTGATTTGGTTTGCTGCAAAATTATAATTTATAAAGCATTCAGGTTTTCATGTGTGACATCTGGACAGGTTTTAAAAACTTATTCATATCTTCATTCTGTACGATCGTGGTTACAAAGGTGTTGATAAGCAAGTTCAAGAATCGCGCTCTCTTGTGGTATTAACCGCATAGGGGCGGAAGGAGGAGGTAACAAGCATTTTTTGAGTGAAACTATAGGCTGAAGGTATTCGCCGGTAGGCTTTTTAACATCATTGGTGACTGCTTTTTTGTACTCCAATTGTATATTCTGAAGTATCACTCATTCGGTTAGGCAGTACAAAATATGCGCTATCGACTGATTTCAAGATGTTCAGGGCATGACGTTAGTTTTCTGTAAAAAATATTAACTTTTTTATCGATAGTTGTTTAAGTCCAATTTTCAACGCCAACTTGCTACTGTAATTCGCTGGGACCAATTGCTGGAGTATGGAGGGCGTAATAGTAACAAAGATCACGTTACTGATTTTTACTTACTATATTTTTAAGTAAGTTTTAAGATGATTTTTTTACTATAGAAGGAGTATTGAAAATGCTTGTCTTTCTAAAAAGTTGGCTCTCCATGTTAATGACTTAAAAGTTGACGTAAATTACTTTCAGCAAAAAAAAAAAAAAGAACGTAAACTTTAAGAGTGCAGAAATTCTTCTTCTAAAATTCTTCTCCAAAAACAAAAGCATCCAATGAAAAACGAAATGTCAAAATTTAAAAAGAGAGGAACAACTTATTTGTCAATCTTATTAATTCTGTAGCAAAAAAAAAAAAAGTCTTCCAAATAGATAAGGCCACATTCTGGAGATTATTTCATAGATCTTTTCTATAGGGGAGATTTTGAAAGCTTTTGAAATTGCAGTGGAAATGGCATTTTTGGTTGAGAAGAATGGCTCACTTTAAAAGCTTTTTTCAGTTTGTTGAACTGTTTAAACAGTTATGTAAATTTGGGCGCTATCCAAAAAAAAAAACATCGTTTTTTCTTTCCAATTCTTTTGAAAAATTCAATCTTTTTTTCATAATTTACAAATATGGCACAGGATTTTTGTTTTAAAACAGACTAGACATTTTAATGCAATTTTTTATCACCTCAGCTCACTTTTTTTTTCATAACTTAAATAACTGTCTACCGAAATTTTGTTTTGAATTTTACTGACTGTTATAGTGGGAAGAAGGCATAGTAAATATAATCTTGAAAATTTTGAAATTTGTCGTATTTTTAGCCCACTTTACAATGAAATTTCGCTATTATTTTCTTACTTTACAACAAAAAATTGAAATTTTTTCCTAAAAGTTAGAGGTGGGGGGGGG